ATTAAATAGAAAGAGAAAAATAGTTTTACAGTAGGTGCAATCGATTAGCACAGTGGTGCAGTCGATTGCTCTACAAAACAGAAACGAATTTTGACAAAAACTACACAGTGCAACCGATTGACACAGGGGTGCAATCGATTGCTTGCTTCAAAAATTAATAAAATTTGTAAAACTTACAGTGAGAAATCGATTGACACAGAGGTGAAATCAATTGCATGCAGTGAAATTTTGAGAAAAATGCCATGGATGGAGTTCTTTCATGTTTCAACGTCAGTTTCATCCAGAATTCCAAGTTCCCTTCGTATTTTGAAGAAAGATTCCTTTGCCAAAGGCTTCATGAATATATCGGCAAGCTGATTATGAGTATCTACAAATGTTATCTCGAGATCTCCTTGAAGTACATGATCTCGCAGAAAATGATGTCGTATGTCGATGTGCTTGGTCCTTAAATGCATGACTAGATTCTTCGTTATGTTAATTGCAATTGTGTTGTCACAGCGAAGAGGAATGCTACCCAGGTCGAGTCCGTAGTCACGAAGTTATTGCTTGAGCCAAAGTATCTGCGCACAGCAACTTCCCGCTGCTATGTACTACGCATGCTTGCTTCTTGCATGCCTATGAGACTAGTGCATTTCCCAAGATGTGACATTTTCCACTTGTGCTCTTTCTATCACTTTTACAGCCTGCATAATCCGCGTCAGAATATCCAATTAAATTGCATATACTACCTTTAGGATACCATAAGCCGACATTTGTTGTTCCTTTGAGATGCTTCATGATCCGCTTGACTGCCATCAGGTGAGAATCCTTTGGATTTGCTTGAAAGCGAGCGCAAAGAAAGACGCTAAACATAATGTCAGGGCGACTTGCTGCCAAGTATAGTAAGGAACCAATCATACCTCTATATTTTGTGATATCAACCGACACACCGGATTCATCTTGATCTACATATGTACCAGATCCCATAGGTGTAGATAAAGTCTTGCAATTGTCCATATCAAACTTTTTTAACAATTCTTTGCAGTATTTTGATTGATTGATAAAGATCCCATTCTCGAGTTGCTTGATCTAAAGTCCAAGAAAGTAGTTCATTTTTCCCATCATAGACATTTCAAATTCTCCTTGCATCATGGATGAGAATTCTTTGTATAACTTGGTGTTGGTTGAACCGAAGATGATGTCATCAACATATACTTGTACCAAGAGAGTATCTTCTTTTATTTTCTTGATGAACAAAGTTTTGTCTACTTTTCCCTTTTCAAAGCCTTTGTAACATAAGAAATTGCTAAGTCGATCGTACCATGCTCTTGGTGCTTGTTTCAATCCATAGAGATCTTTCTTTAATTTGAAGACATGAGATGGATATTTGTAATCTTCAAAACCAGGAGGTTGTTTGACATATACTTCTTCATTTATGAATCCATTCAAGAATGCGCTTTTGACGTCCATTTGGAAAAGCTGAAAATTCATGGAACATGCATAAGCTAATAACAGTCTAATTGCTTCCAATCTTACAACTGGAGCGAATGTTTCGTCAAAATAAATTCCTTCTTCTTGGTTGTATCCTTGGGTGACCAATCTTGCTTTGTTCTGAACTATAATACCATTTTCATCGAGTTTGTTCTTAAAGACCCATCTTGTTCCAATGATATGCTTGTTGTTCGGCCTAAGGACAAGATTCCAGACTTGATTTCTTTCAAACTGGTTCAGTTTTTCTTGCATAGCTATTACCCATTGATCATCGCCTAAGGCTTCATCGATTTTGGTTGGTTCAATTTGCGAAACAAATTCCATGTTAAGACAAGTATCCTTGAGATTTAATCTTGTTGTAATACCTTGACTGATATCACCAATGACTTTATCGATCGGGTGATCTCTATGAGTTCTCCATTCTTTCGGTAGATTATTGTGTACTTCGTTTTGTTGTGAATCCTCTTGCCGCTATTTTGGTTGATCACTTGCAATATCTTTGAGAGTGTTTTCTTGAGAGGTTTCTACTACATCATCATCATCATTATTAACAATAATATCATCTTCCTTGGAGGGGTTAGATTCATCAAAAGAAACATGCATAGATTCTTCAATAGTTAAAGTTCTTTTGTTAAAAATTCTGAAAGCCTTACTTGAGAGAGAATAGCCGAGAAAAATACCTTCATCGGATTTCTCGTCAAACTTACCGAGATTGTCTTTGTCATTGTTCAAGACAAAGCATTTACACCCGAATATGTGGAATAAGGGTATGTTTGGTTTTCTTCCTTTGAACAGTTCATAGGGGGTTTTCTTGAGAATTGGTCTGATGTTCACACGATTACTTACAAAACACGCAGTGCTTACTGCATCTGCCCAAAAATATTTAGGAAGGTTTGAATTACTAAGCATTGTTCTTGCAAGTTCTACCAATGACCGATTCTTTCTTTCTACGACACCATTTTGCTATGGAGTTCTTGGTGCAGAGAAATTGTGTGAGATTCCATTTTCCTTGCAGAATTCTTCAAATAGAGCATTCTGGAATTCTCCACCATGGTCACTTCTAATGGAGACAATTGAAAGTGACTTCTCATTCTGAATCTGTTTTGCATATTTCTTGAATGCCTTGAAAGCTTCACTTTTCTGCACTAAGAAGAAAGTCCATGTATATCTAGAGAAGTCATCAACAATTACTAATGCATAAACATTACCTCCAAAAAATTTTGTTCTTGGAGGTTCTCATCCATTTCCTAAAAGTTAGCTCATTTTCCTCAATTTTTTCAAACTTCGCCACTTCTCACTACTACAAAAAAACACATACAACAACGGTTAAAAAAGATATATTATCACGCAAGACCAACCGTTGTTACGTAACGTGTGGTTGTATATGCGTTACTTACAATCACGGTCGTGTGATCGTTTTAGAAAACTAAAAGCGTGCTATCTATAATCACGATTGTTTTAAATACCAGTTGTTAAAGGTCTATCAGCATTTTTTATTTATTTTGCCATATGTTTTGCCTGACTACATTTATAACTTTCATCACAATATACAATATTAAATATTTTAACACAACAACATCAAGAACAACAAGATTAACAAGAGTAATAAGAACAAGAACAAGAACAATAAAAATAACAACTAGAACAACAAAAACAACAACAAGAACGACAAGAACAACGAGAATAATAACAAGAAAAACAACAACAATAACAACAACAATAACAACAATAAGAATAACAACAAGTAAGAAAAACAACAAGAACAAGAGCAATAACAACAAAAACAAGAACAATAACAACAACAACAACAACAACAACAACAAGAATAACAAGAACAACAAGAAGAATAACAAGAACAACAAGAATAGCAACATCAACAACAATAACAACAAACAAGAACAAAAATAAGAATAACAACAAGAACAACAAGAGCAACAACAAGAACAATAAAAACAACAAGAACAAAAATAAGAATACTAACAAGAACAACAACACGAACAACAATAAATAAATAAATAAGTAGATAGAATCGTTAACATTTTACCTGTAGAATCGTTAAACTGGAACAAATTGTAACACGTTAATGGAAGCAATGTTTCTGAGTTTCGTTTGTGGAAGAAATGGTGTTTTCAAGTTTGTCTTAGTGGATGAATAATGTTTCGTAAATGGAAGAAGTTTGGCGGCATAAGATGAAGTCTGTCTAAGTATGTTTAGGGAAAAAGTGAATGAACTAAGAGTGTTATATATATCTTTAAAAAAAAAGGCGCGCCACATATAACTACGGTTGATTTAAATGCCCGTGGTGAAAGGTCTATCACCTATAATCACTGTTGATTTAAATACCCGTGGTCAAAGGTCTGTCAGCATTTTTAAAAAATAAGTAAATAATCAAAATTGTTGGTGCTGGGATTTGAACCCATGATCATACGCCACTTTTCACCACATATATTAAATCAATCATGATTATAGGTGGTTAAATAAAATTTTAAAAATGCATGCGCCTAAATATCACATATTACAACGGTTGATTGAACGCGGGAGTTATTATATGTGCTTTCTGTAGTAGTGTCTTTATCCTCCACTTTTTGATAATCATTTAACTGATGATCTATCTTCCCACAAACAAAGAAAAATGTAGGTAGTCGTTCATACTTGAAAAAACTTGAGAGTGTCATCTAGTTTATTGTTTTGGCGACTTTGACAGTGTTAGTTTCTTCCTCTTTGATTAGAGAGAGAGGAAGACCTAGAATGATCATAAGAGAAGTTATTAAGATTTCAAAATTAACGATTTGGATATAAGTAAGGTCCTGGATAGAACAATATGATGCAAGTTGATCCATGTAGTCGACTCCACTTAGTGGGATAAAGCTTGGTTGTTGTTGTTGTATATTCAATCACAAGTAGCTTAAGTAATTTAAGCTTTCATGTCAAACTTTGTCATATGACGCGCTCTTATATAGATTGAATGCTTAAATTAAAGCATTTATCAAAGTTCCACATAATAGTCACACCAGCTGGACATTTGAGTTGAGTGTACTTAATATCAATGAAAAGTGTGTTGTTTTGAGTAGATGTAGTACCTTGTATATGCTCACACCAGGTCTAATTTGTTGCTGACTAACATTGCTGCTGCCCCATTTCGAATGCTTATATTTTATTTCTTTTATTACTATTGTAGCTTCGATATTGGAATCAGGAGGCCATAAGTTTCCCCTTGAGGAAGAGTTGATTCTGAAGGTAATAGCATGTGCTTTCATCATTTTTAATTAATTTAAGCCGATTCATTTTAGTTGATGTTATATTATATCCTTCCGTTCTAGTAAACAGCAGGATCAACAAATATTAATCTTATATACCATTTTCTTACTTGAACCAATAAATTTGCAGAATAAATCGCAACAGATCCAGCCGTATTTAAATGGACGCTGTATATATGTTGTTGGTCAGTTTCGTTGTCTCGTGATTACGCGGTACGAATTACAAGTATGATTAATCTAGCATTCAAAATACTTATTAATTGACATGCAGGAATGATGGGCTCTGGGAAAACGACTGTGGGGAAGATTATGTCGCAAGCGCTTAGCTATTCTTTTTGTGATTGGTTAGTATGTTAGTAGAATCTGTTAATAGAATCTACGTCTGTCTATTACAGAACAGTTACTCTAATTCATGGATATTATAAGTTTTGATGATGTGTTTTTTTGCACATGTGTATGTTATAGTGATACATTGATTGAAGAAGAGGTTGATGGAAACTCTGTAGCTGATATTTTCAAGCTCTATGGAGAATCTTTCTTTCGTGATAGGGAGGTCAGTTGGAAAGGGCGGTTTCAAGTTTTCATATTCTTCAGCGTTTTGATTTTTTCTTAACTTTTCTGAATTTATAGATTTTCTTATCTTTAATTACATCTCAGTACCCTTATTTTCTGCTTGTATATATTATAAGTTGCTCCAAGGAGATGGAAGTTCAACGTGCGTGCTGAAATATGAATCTATGATGGTACTTAGCAGTGTCGCAAGAAGGATAGTATAAGACACCAAAACAAAGAATCCAAATAAACAAAATATTTTCCTGTAGTTTGTATAACTGGCTTCAGTGTTTCCTTTTACTGAGTCACTGGAATTTCTGTCCAATGATTTAGAATCTTTGGTTGAAATAGAAGAACATTTCCCCAACCTGTTAGGATTTTTGCTGTTAAATTGATTTAGTTTGTAGAGAGAGCAAATGAGCGTGGAAAGAGTACAAGCTCTATGTTGGTTGGTCGTACATTAATGGTGGAAGCCCCCCCTCTTATCAGCCTTCTTTTGGGAGGAGTGAGTTGTTCTCTACTTTAACTAGTATTGGAGCTTGTTTGTCCACCCATGTTACTGATGGACTACCCTATCCAACTTGATGGGTTTGACAGAGGAGCATGAATCTCACATGATCATATCAGCTGGGTATAAGACACAGAATTTACATTGACAGTCGAATTGTGGAGGCATTTGCTTGCTTGTCATGCTGGCTTCTAGGTTTGGATTCTCTCTACATTCCCAACTCTGTTTGAAACAACATTTAAATAGAGTAACAATTCCTACTCCGCAAAACAAATCCTCTTCTCTGGAAAAGGTATTAAGACACAGTTACCAACATACTGGTTGTAGCTCATCAGGCGTTGTCATTAGACCCCTGTATGTGTCAAAACTATTTAGTCATTATTATTTCTGTCTTTAAGCCAGACAATGCTATATTTGTTGTGTTAGAAGTGGTATGGTGGCGATAGAAAGAAAATAATGAGTCTCTATCCATTGAACTCTTTTGGAACATGTCCTCAAGAAGAAAAGAGTTACAGAGAAACACCCACACCCACACGTAACTTGAGAGTCATGCCTCTACCTGTAGTGATTTTCCAAACCCAACTCGTTATCCTCCAACTCCCTATTTATTCTCCCCTTAAATACCCTTAACTAATATTCTATTTTCACTCATTCTCAAAGTCACACAGCTTATTGACAGAGCCAGGTTTCTCAAATTTGGGCCTCATTTTTCTTCTACTTCAAACTTTCATAATTCATGCCCGAGCACATTGCTACGCACTTCCTTATGTATAAGGGACAGTGGCTATGCCTTGAACTCCCTGCTAAAAGGCATGTTATTTTTAATCTCTACAATTATTTAGTTGCAAGCAACATGCTGAATCACTTTATGTAATAGTTAGTTTGATATTAACCAAAGTTGAAACTCTGGTCCTTCAGTTAATGCCTGTTATAAGATTCTGGAATACAATGTTAATAAAAGTAGATAGCATAATTTCTGATGATGACATGTGCGGAGAAGTAACTATCATATCTCCCAATTACTATGATTCTGTATGATTATACTGACATTAAGATATTGTAAATTGTTCTGGTTTTCCTCTGGTTCTGTCACACTTTCGTCATTCGTTTTCTTATTTTTCATTTCAGACTGAGGCATTGCATAAGATGTCCCTGATGCATAAATTTGTCATTTCTACTGGTGGAGGTGCTGTTTTGAGACCCATCAATTGGTATAAGGATTAACATACTAATTGTAATGAGGAAAGTTCATGCCTTACTTTTTATTATGAAATCTTTCCTCCTCTTTATATGTATTTGTATGTGAATGGATTTCCAGGAAATATATGCACAAGGGCGTTAGTGTTTGGTTGGACGTACCGGTGGATGCATTGGCAAAAAGAATTGCAGCCGTGGGAACTAATTCTCGCCCTCTTCTACATGAAGAAGCAGGGGATGCATACACAGCGGTAAATTGTTTTGCATCCATAGAATTTTTATTTTTTGTGCGCGTGGCAAAGTATAACATATTATCTATAATTTTGGTCACCGAATTGCATAAAAAATATTTTGCCACAATAATTTGACTATTTGTAATTCATATGCAGGCTCTGATGCGCCTGTCTTCTCTTTTTGAAGAAAGGGGTGAATTCTATGCCAATGCTAATGCCAGAGTCTCATTAGAAAGTATTTTCTTTTCTGTTTTGAAATTAAAATTGTAAAACTATCAGATTCTGCAGGAAGAACAGGAAGACACTTGAATGCATTTACAATATCGTGCAATTTTTAATGTGGTGTTGTTGTTATGTGCAGATATTGCAGCAAAACTGGGACGAAAAGACCCGTCTGATTTGTCTCCAACCGCCATTGCAATTGAGGTCTTGAACAGTTTCTGATCCATGCTCATGTAACTCCATTTCAGTTTGTTAGCTTTGGCAACCTGAAATGTTCCTGGGTGCGAAAGTTCAATCTAAATTCTTTATATCTGATGCATAACTAGTATATTCTTCTGTATCTTGCAGGCACTAGAGCAAGTTGGCAACTTTTTAAAGGCAGAAGATGGTGGTTATGCAAGATAGTAGTATGAAAATTTGCACAATCATGTTTTGATTGTTAATATTTTTTGTCTATTCAATTTTCAGTTTGCAATTAAGGCCATGCTGTTGTGCATTGTTTTTTTGAAGTGTGGAAAATAAAAATAAAAGTTAATGCAACATGGCACAGGTTGATGAGGGTTTTGCTGTAAATTAAGCTTGGTTGATCAGTTAATGTGTGACTGAATTACTATAAAAGATGGATTATTATAAGAGATTGTATGATGTAAAAGTGTCACTTTAACTTCTATCCGATTTTTGTTGTAAAAGTGACACTTTATCTTTGTTCCTGGATGAAAGATTAATCTATGGAACATGTATTAATTTTTATTTCTGAAAACAATTTTTCAATTTAATCACCATTGCATTGTAATCTGATATATTTAGCTTCTGAAATGGTTAGCATGGTTAGCAGTACATTCTTAATTGAGTTTAATAAATGAATTTTAGAATAGATGAAGATTTTGAAAAGAAAAAGAAATAGTGTGTACGCGGGTGTATCGGCTTAACAGTTTCGTCGGCTCAGACAAATAATATTTAATTTAATTATAGAATTATATAACAAGATTTTAATTTGTATAGTTGATTAAATTAATTTATTGGTTTAGTATATATTAATTTGATGTGAATGATTTATATTAGTTTGTATTAGGCAAGTCCTTTATTTCAATTAATGTAACATGGCACTGGTTGATGAGGGTTTTGCTGTAAATTAAGCTTGGTTGATCCGTTAATGTGTGACTGAATTACTATAAAAGATTGTATGATGTAAAAGTGTCACTTTAACTTCTATCCGATTTTTGTTGTAAAAGTGACACTTTATCTTTGTTTCTGTATGAAAGATTAATCTATGGAACATGTATTAACTTTTATTTCTGAAAACAATTTCTCAATTTAATCACCATTGCATTGTAATCTGTTTAATCACCATTGCATTGTAATCTGATATATTTAGCTTCTGAAATGGTTAGCAGTACATTCTTAATTGAGTTTAATAAATGAATTTTAGAATAGATGGAGATTTTGAAAAGAAAAAGAAATAGTGTGTACGCGGGTGTATCGGCTTAACAACTCAGTTTAGTTTGTCGGCGCAGACAAGTAATATTTAATTTAATTATAGAATTATATAACAAGATTTTAATTTGTATAGTTGATTAAATTAATTTATTGGTTTAGTATATATTAATTTGTATTAGGCAAGTCCTTCATTTCAATTAATGTAACATGGCACAGGTTGACGAGGGTTTTGCTGTTAATTAAGCTTGGTTGATCAGTTAATGTGTGGCTGAATTACTATAAGAGATTGTATGATGTAAAAATGTCACTTTAACTTCTATCTGATTTTTATTGTAAAAGTGACACTTTATTTCTGAAAATAATTTCTCAATTTAATCACCATTGCATTGTAATCTGATATATTTAGCTTTTGAAATGGTTAGCAATACATTCTTAATTGAGTTTAACTTGATTTTTAAATGAATTTTAGAATAGTTGAAAGATTAATCTATGGAACATGTATTAATTTTTATTTCTGAAAATAATTTCTCAATTTAATCACCATTGCATTGTAATCTGATATATTTAGCTTTTGAAATGGTTAGCAGTACATTCTTAATTGAGTTTAACTTAATTTTTAAATGAGTTTTAGAATAGTTGAAGTGTGTACGCCGGTGTATCGGCTTAACACCTCAGTTTAGTTCGTCGGCTCAGACAAGTAATATTTAATTTAATTATAGAATAGAATTATATAACAAGACTTTAATTTGTATAGTTGATTAAATTAATTTATTAGTTTAGTATATATTAATTTGATGTGAATGATGTATTTTAGTTTGTATTAGACAAGTCCTTCATTTCAATTATAAGCCAGCAATTTATTTTTGTACATGAAAAATAAAAAATAAAAAATATAATTATATTATTTTACGCATGAATATGTAAAGACAATAAAAAGAGTAAAATTTAATATATCTAGACATGAATCCAATCTGTAGTAAATGGTAGAGTAATTTTAAAATGTTAGTGTTAGAATTGATTTTTATTTGGGTTCAGTGTAAGGAAGTAGGAACAGAGGTGCAGAAGTAAGAGGTATCTATTTGCTATGACTACTGAAAAGCATTCTCGGATGAATAAACGTATGAATAAAGTTGTTTTGAAGAAATAAACAACAAGTTGATATGGCCGAGTTGGTCTAAGGCGCCAGATTAAGGTTCTGGTCCGAAAGGGCGTGGGTTCGAATCCCACTGTCAACAATTTCAATTTTTTTTTGTTATTTTGCTTTATTTGTCTCTCAAGTCCTTCCTTGTTCCTTATCTACTGCAACCTTCATCCTCCAATAAGCTACAAACACTTAGAAATGAAAACAGATAACAAAACCATGCCTTACTCATATTATTATTGCCATCATTATCACAACAAGATCTCCACATTTATATCTCAATTATAACCTGAATAATGTAATAATAGAGCATTTCATTTTTATATTATTTTTCGTTCAATATATATCAACAAACAATGCGTGATGATTGGTGACATTGGGAAATATGAAGATTTCATTAAATTCAAGTTTAAATTAGATTCTTTTGTTTTATATTTTTCATCATATGTTTGTTTAATAAAACATCAAATAACTTTTTCTTTTAAGATTATATAAATTTCTTCAAAGTCTTTTAAATATTTTCTATTATCATATTTTGATTAATTAAATATTTACATTTTTTATCGGGAAGAGTAGTTTAATTGGTTTTTTATATTTATCATCATATGTTTAATAAAACATCAAATGATTTTTTTTAAGACTATATAAAATTCTTCAAAATTTTTTATTATCATATTTTAATTAATTAAATATTTATATTTTTTTAGCGGAAAGAGTTGTTCAATTAATTTTTTATAATATAATAAAAAACAATATTTTTTAACTAAAAACTTTAAAATTTTCTATTGTTAAAAAAATTATAAGATTAAGAATAACTCATCTAAAAAAAATAATTGACCAAAGGAATAGATAGCTTGTTATTAATGGTTGAATTTGCTCATGATCCATGACTTGAATCATGAGTAAATTTGAATTTTTTTTGTTATGGAAGAATGACTCGAACCACACCCTTCGTTGACTCGAATCAAACATGAACTTCTCAATTTTGATTTGCCCTCTAAAAGTGTGACTCAAGTCGCACTTTGCCTTGACTCAAATTAAACACAAGCTTTTAAATTTTGATTTGCTCTCTAGAAGTGTAACTCGAATCAAGCTTTGGTCTGACTCGAATCACGTGATTCAACCCACAACTTCCTTTGACTCAAATCAAACATGCTCAAAGATGATTTTTCTCATCTTGATTCAAATCATTCTCTTTTATATTTGAATAATCATTTTTGCCCTTGACTCGAATCAAAGTGTCATTTTTACATTTTTTTTTTGTGTGTGCACTATCTCTAGCACATATAAAATCAAAAATCTCCTCTCTCTAAAAAATTTCTATCATAATCTTTAAAAAAACCCAGAGTAAAAGAATTAGATTCTGATTTCTAGAGATTGAAATCTTGTGAAGAAAAAGAAGAGTTTCTTCTCTTAGAGGACTTGGAATTTCTAGCTCCTTTTAACAAGTTCAAAGACTTGGACAACAGAATTTTGGTAGGGTCGTCAAGATCGATGCAGACGAAATCTTAGAGTTCTTTGTTTCTAAGGAGGTGGTTCAATTCAATATTGAATATGCATAATTTGTTTGATAACTTTTGTACTAAGACTATGTTGGCCATCAAATATGGATACTTAACTTCAGTTATAAAGTTGGCGCTTCTCAGCTTCTGTTTCATCAATGGATCTTATCTTCTCCTCGCCTACCTTATATTTCTTATAAGATATTGACTTCTCTATGGAATCAATGGTGAGGAGATGCTATACCACTCTTTAATCTATATCTGACATGTCAGAGGGTGCCCAGGTGATCAAGTCTATGCTTCTCCTCAATAGGGAGACTAGTTCCTCCTCCTCAGAATCAGATAGAGTGGTGCCTAGTTCGGTGACCTAATGGTATAAGGGCCTAATATGGACCTCATTTAGATATATGATTATCGATTGCATCAAAATACATTTGTAAATTTTATATTACTGGAAGACTTAACAATATCTGATGAATTTCCATTCACACTAGAGTATATGCAAACAAGGACGACACACCGAACCAGTATAAATCTCGATGTACACTTTCTTTATCCCTTCTTTATTTTGATCTCTATATAGATTATACATGATATTATGTTTTAATTGCTTTCTAATTTGCACGTGATTCGGGTTTTGTTGCTTATAGCGATATAATATTTAAGCTTAGGTTTGTGTCATATATAGTATGCCAAGCATTTATTTCTAGTGATTATTCTGGAAAACTCTAGTCCAATTGTGTAATCCTTTTAAAGGGATTTTTAAACTTACATCTCATACATTTTAAATTGTGATTTTGGAATTTTTTCAAAAACTCTTTAATTGGGGAATGTACTGGTATATTTGTAAGGACTATACATGAAGTGGCTCAATATTCACCAAGATCAAGTGGGTAACCCCAACCTCCCAAAGAAGGGTCCCAGTCACCTTTTGTTTCCAATGTCCACCCATTTATCATATCAAGCGGCAGTCATCTGAAACAAATGTCTTTGATTGAGTTTCTCACCCACGTGCCAAAACATGGGGAGTGACATGTCCATGTTCAATAACATCCTGAGAGTCATTCAAAGATGAGGGTCACACCCTCTAGAATAATAAAGAAATAACCATCCATACCACACTCTTGAGAGATAAAAATGTTTTTTCTTGGAACCTATGGTCCAGGCCCAAGAGATTCCTTTTAATATCTTAACCCTAAACAAATTCATCAAAAAACATAAGTATACATAACTTCTCACTACCATTGTGGGAGCTTGATCTAATACCAAAACAATCCTAAAAAACCTCTAAAATCCCTTAACCACAAAGGTTTGTCCCATATTTT